TACAGCTATTTTTGTGGGTTAAAAAACCATTTTTCTCTGTATCATTGTATTTATTGTAATCTTAGTAAATTGTAACTCTGACTTGCAATCCCTCGGGTGGGTTCATTTCTCCCTCCGGTTTACTTTTAACCCAGCACACAATGGGAATGTCTGATTGTTTCCATGGTAACTGACCATGGCAAGGGGGCTCAGTGCCGTTGCCCACAGCTTCCACTTGTGCAAATTGGCTTCACTCACCTTCTCCTGCAGCAGCCTCAGCCACTCGTCGTGGGGGCCCCACACAGCAGCTTCCCACCTCCGTGAAGTTCTGCAGCAGCCCAGGGTTCCAGTTCTGCAGCACCCAGAAGGTCCTGCAGTGTCCCGATGGCCCCTTGATTCCGTGAGGCTCCACTGTGTCCCAGGGTCTCCCTGCTTCCATGAGTTTCCCCAGTGTCCCAGGTTTCCTTTGGTTCCATGAGACCCAGATGTGAAGCCGTGGCCCCTTGATTCCACGAGGTTTTGCAGTGTCCCGATGGCTCCTTTCTGCCCTCAGGTTCTGCACAGTCTCAGGGTTCCTCTCCTTTCATGAGGTTCCACAGTGTCCCGATGGCCCCTCGATTCCAGGATGATCCCAAATGTCCCAGGCTTCCTTTGGTTCTAGGAAGCCCTGCATGTCAAAATGGCCCCTTGATGCCATGAGTTTTCACAGTGTCCCCATTTTCCCTTGGTTCCATGAGGACCTGCACTGTCACAACGGTCCCTTGATTCCGTGAAGTTCCAGTCTCCCAGGGCTTCTTCATCTCCACGACACTCCGCAGGGTCACAATGGTCCCTTGATTCTGTGAGATTCCACAGTGCCCCAGGATTCCTTTGCTTCCCTGGGCCCTGCAGACTCAGAATGGACCCCTTGATTCTGTGAGGTTCCACAGGGTCCCAAGAGCCCTTTGGATCTGGGAGGCTCTCAGAGTCCAACACCCGTTGTCCAAGTAAGGTAGACGAGTGTCACAATGGCCCTTTGTTTCTATGAGGTTCCACAGTGTCCAAGGATTCCTTTGGTTCCATGAAGCCCTGCAGTGTCACAATGGGTTGTTGATTCCGTGCCATTCTGCAGGGTCACAAAGGCCACTTGGTTCCACGAGTTTCCTCAGTGTCCCAGGCTTCCCTTGGTTCCATGAGGTCCTGCAGGGTCACAGGCACCCCTTGATCCCATGTGGTTTCACAGTGTCCCAGGTTTCATTTTATTCCATGAGGCCCTGCAGTGTCACAATGGCCACACAATTCCATGAGGTTCCCCAGTGTCACAATGGCCCAGTGATTCCATGAAGTTCCAAAATGTCCCAGGGTTTCTTTGCTTCCGGGAGGTCCCCCATGTCACACTGGCCACTTGATTCCATGAGATTCTGCAGTCTCCCAGGTTTCCTTCAGATCCAGGAGGCCCTCCAGTGTCAGAATGGCCCTTTGATTCCATGAAGTTCCACACTCTCCCAGAATTCCTCTGGTTCCATGAGCTTCGCAGTGTCTCAATAGGCCCTTGACTCCATGAGGTTCCTCACTGTCCCAGGGTCCCTTTGGTTCCATGAGACCCTGAAGTGTCACAACAGCTGACGTCACATCCATCATATATCACATCTCTCCTGTGACATCATATCATCCCTGTGACATCATGTCCTCCCTGTGACATCACATCCTTCCTGTGACATCACATCCTTCCTGTGACATCACATCTCTATGACTTCACATCCATCATATGACATCACACCTCTCCTGTGATATCACATCCTCCCCTGTGACATCACATCGTCCCTGTGACATCACACCTCCCCATGATATCACAGCTCCCCTGTGACATCACATCCAGTGACATCCAGATCCATCCCAAGGTTGGGGGGTGTGTGAGACAGGCAGAACCACAAATGCCTGCACAGCCCAGAGCAGTCAGTGTGGGGCTGTGCTTGCTGCTGCAGAGACCCCCAGGGAACAAACCCAGCGAGTAGGTTGGGGGGCTGTGTGTGTGTCCCTAAGGAGGACACTTGCCTTATTATTGCTTATTATCTGTAATATCTTGTAGATCTATCATACAACACCTAAGGATGGATTCTATAGAATATGTGCCATAGATATTTGGGTTGGGTCTGGCTGAGCTGCAGTTCAGTTCCCCACAGCAGCCCTCCCAGGGCTGGGCTTGGCATTGGCAGCTGGAAGGGGGTTGAGAACACCCCAGTGTTTTGGCCCCTGCTGAGCACAGCACCAACACTGGGACATTCCTTCCTTAGCTGAGGGCAAGAGCCTGGCAGGGGACCCAAGTAGGCCAGCTGAGCCCAACTGACCCAAGGGACATTGCAGAGCATGGGAGGTGAGCTCAGCTCTAAAAGCTGAGGCAGGGAGCAGGAGGGGGGCATTCATTGTCTGATGGCTGCCTGCTGAGGAACCGTCCCGCGGACCCAAGCCCTGCTCCTCGGGAGTGGCCGACCATGGCTGCTCATGGGAAGCAGAGAACAAACCCTGCTGTCTTTTGCTTTAAATAAACTGCCTTATCTCAACCCACCAGTTGTTTTTTGTTCCACCTTACTCTCTCCCCTGTCCTGCTGGAAAGTGGAGTGATAGAGCGGCTGGGAGGGCACCTGGTGTCCAGCCAAGGTCAACCCACCACACACCTGAACACTTCCAGAGACTCCACCACCTCCCTGGGCTACTTGTTCCAATGCCTGAACACTCTCTCAGTGGAAAAAGGTTTCTTTATTATCTAATATGAACCTTGCCCAAGGCAATTTAAGGCCATTCCCTCACAACCTTTCACTGTAGCCTTGGCAGAAGAGAGTAACCCCCACCCCACTAAAACCTCCTTTCAGGTCATTGCAGAGAGCAATGAGGTCCCCCCTGAGCCTCCCCTTCTCCAGACTCAACAAGCCCAGTTCCCTCAGCCGTCCCTCAGCAGACATGTTTTCCAGAGCCTTCCCCAGCTCCGTTCCCTTCTCTGGACACGCTCCAGCCCCTCCAGGGCCTTTTGGCACTGAGGGGCCACAACTGGACACAGCACTCCAGGTGGGGCCTCCCCAGTGCCCAGCACAGAGGGGCAATCAGTTCTCTGCTCCTGCTGGCCACACTCTTCTCCACAAAGGCCACCATGCCCTTGGCCTTCTTGCCCCCCTGGGCACACTCTGCCTCATATCCAGCCCCTGTCAAGCAGCACCCCCAAGTCCCTTCCTGCTGAGCAGCTCTCCAGCCCCTCTGCCCCCAGCCTGGAGCGTTCCAGGGGGTTGTTGGGACTCAAGGGCAGGCCCTGACACTTGGCCTTATTGATCCAGCCTGTCCAGATCCCTCTGCAGAGCCTTCCTGCCCTCCAGCACATCCACACTCACACCCAGCTGGGTGTTGTCCACGACTTTACTGAGGGGACTGGAAGGCCACAATTAGGTCACCCCAAAGCCTTCCCTTCTCCAACCTCAACAATCCCAGTTCTCTCAGCTTTTCCTCACAGAAAGGTTTCAATAGACCTCAAGTGGCTGAAGCCCTGGGTTTGGCCATCAGGCCTTGTCTTTCACTGCTGTGCTCTTTTAATAGAGCAACAGAGAATTGCAGCAAAAAACTGAAGAGAAAAACTTTGTAAATTTTGTTTCAGAATCGTTGCCTTGACCCTTTGGTCGAGGTTGGGAATGGTTTGTCTCCCTTGGCAGGGAGGGTCAGTGCTCTTTGTCATTCTGACAGGACTGCCCAGGTCCCTGATTTTATCGTGGCCAAAATACTGGGCTTGGAAACCAAACCAGGAGCTGGTAGAGAACAGCAGCTTGAAAAATGGGCTGATGCCTAATTGATGTGGCAGAAGGAATGAAAGACTCGTGACAGCTAAGAAAAAAATTGGGCTTTTCAGTGCCTACCTCAGGTTGGGATGACTGCCTGTGTCTTAGTGGAGGAAGATGTTTTTGTAACTTTATTGAAACTTGTTAGTAAAATGTGCCTGAATTCCTAAGGAAACAACCACTGTGAAATCTTTTAAACCAAATGGAGATTTCCAAAGTGTAGAAGTTGCTATTAATATTTTGGCCGTTCCTGTGGCATCTTTTTGGTGTATGAATAACTCTGAGAACAAGAAATTCTTAATTATAACACATTACCAGGTCTGTTTACTGCTAATTATTTTACAAGGTTGAGAGAAGAGTTTAAGATGAAAGTTGTGGGGTTACTTGCAAAGTTTTTGGGAAAAGCAATGCAGTTGAACCTGGTGGGGAAATTTGCCCTTAAAACTGGATTTGGCAGATCTCATGAGTGTCTAAGGCAGAGGCCAACCCAACTGGAAAGAGCCTTTCAAGGGTGACTAAGATGTAACTAAATTACCTTTTTGAGAGATGGGGAAAGCTGATGTCAGGAAGTAAATTTCCTTATGTTAAGCTTAGTAAAAATATAATAATATATAAATATTAAAATTATTTTAATGGTCTTATTTATGGGGTTTTCACTGTGCTTATGTTAGTACTTCTGAGTGTTTGATTGTGACAATAATGGACAGCTTTGTGTGTTTTTTTTTTTTTATTTTTCATGTTTTGATACTTTGGTCAAGGCATTAACATTAAAAATCATTCAAAATTTTAATTCATCTTCAAACACTGAAATAGATTTGAAATGAGGTTAATGAGAACAGTGGGGGGAAAACAAAAACAAGCCCAAAACCAAAACAACCCCAAAAACTGTTTATTTTTCCATTGTATTTTAAACAAGGAAGTCTGTAGAGCAGCAGAAACAGGACACGTGGGCAGGTGTGAAAGTCAGACTGGGGCTTGTTGCACTGGTTCCAGTGCTCTTTGCTTCAGTGTAACTGGTCATTTTGAGATGAGACTGGGGAAACTGGGCTGCCAGGGCAGAGACCACTGGCTGGTCCCACTGGTTTTTGCTGGGCAGTGGGTAATTTGTGCCTCACTTGTCAGAATCAGCCCACGGTTATCAGGGAATGGGGTAGTGGTGAATTTGGCTTTCAGACTAAAATGAGGTTAAACTTACACATATTCAAAAGAATAAACTGATGTTGGAGTGCAGATACTCAAAAACGTCAGTCCTACGGCCGAAGCTCTTCCCGCAGTTGGGGCACTCACAGGGCTTCCATCATCAGTGCGTCTGTTGGTGTCTGGTCAAATGCGATCTCTGGGTGAAGCTCCTCCCACACTCCCCACACTTGTAGGGCCTCTCCCCGCTGTGGATGCGCTGGTGGGTGATGAGGGTGGAGTTCTGGTTGAAGCCCTTCCCACAGTTGGTGCAGCGGAAGGGCCTCTCATCCGTGTGCGTCTGCTGGTGCTTCAGGAGATTGGAGCTGCTCTGAAACCTCTTCCCACATTCCCTACACATGTAGGGCCGTTCCCCAGTGTGGATGCGCTGGTGGGTGAGGAGGTGGGAGCTCTGCCTGAAGCTCTTCCCACATTCCTCACAGAGGTAGGGACTTTCCCCAGTGTGGATGTGCAGGTGGGTGAGGAGGTTGGAGCTCTGCCTGAAGCTCTTCCCACATTCCTCACAGAGGTAGGGACTTTCCCCAGTGTGGATGTGCAGGTGTTGGATCAGGCTGGAGCTGCTCCTGAAGCTCTTCCCACATTCCCCACACGTGTAGGGTCGTTCCCCAGTGTGGATGAGCTGGTGGGTGAGGAGGTGGGTGCTCCTCCTGAAGCTCTTCCCACATTCCAAGCACCTGAAGGGCTTCTCCCTGCTGGGAGATTGCTCAGGGACCACCAGTTCGGAGCTACACCTCAAGCTCCGGCCGCCTTCCCAGCACAGGCTGGCTCTTTCCTCCTCAGAGCACCCTGGGATGGCTTTGGAGCCCCTCCTGGGGGGGGATCTCCGGCCCTTTTCCTCCCCGCTGCCTTCCTGCGCCGGGGAGCCCTTCAAAACGGCCTCTCCCACCAGGGTCTCACGGGGGGATTTGTCCTCCGGGCTCTCCGTCCTCACCTCGGGGCCTGGGGCAGGAAGCAAGAAGGACAGGCAGGGGATTTGCCTCCGGCCCACAGGGAAGGCCAAGGACATCCCCCCAACTCCGGCCCCGGCAGGACGGCGGCGCCAGCGGGGTTGTCCTGCCGCCGGGGCCATGCTCGGCTGACAGAGCCAGCACAACACCCGCCCAAAGGGACACTGACTTCCTCCTCACCTGCCTGGGGGGACCAAGGCATCTTCCTCTTCCTCGCAGCCTCCTCCTCCATCCGCCCAAGCTTTGGGAAGGACAAATCCTGATGGGGGGAAAACAAGGGCTGAGCGCGTTGGCTTGGGGGTTCCTCCTGCCCAAGTCCATCTCTAGAACTCACCGGGCATCCTGTGACCATAAAAACCTCCCAAACACCAAGATTCAGACCAAGAAAAACCCAAAACACCCAGATTCACGCAAAAACCCCTCAGAAATAGCAAGAAGACCCTTAATTCCCCAAACTGCAAAAAGTTGAAATTCAGCTAAAAATACTCCAAAATATGAAGATTATCCCAAGAAATTTCTCCCAGAAGTTCCTCCTCTTTCATGTCTCCCCTCTGGGGTTCGGAGGGTCTCCCCTGTCTGGGATGCTGGGAGTGTTGGGGGTCCCAAGGGTCCCTTCTCCTCTGATTCTCGCCTTCAGGGAACCGCGTTCCCAGATATTCCCCCTCTCCAGGTTCTCCACTCTGTTGTCCTGGGGATCCCAGAGGCCCCCACTATCCAGGCTTTCCTTTCTCTGCTTCCACCGTTTCAGTGGTGGAAGTGACCTGGGTCACTTCTCTCACCCATTTCTCATTGTGGCTGCTCCGCTGATCCGACAGCAGCAGGAAGGGGGGAGCAGGAACAGGAGCAGCAGGAAAACAAGTGCCTCCCCCCTCATCCTGTGGATGCCCAGGAAGAGGGAACTTGTCCCAAAGATCCGGGGGGAGCACAGGGGGTCAGGACATACTCAGGCTGCCAGCACAGATTTCCCTGCAAAGTCTGCAGTGAGTCAAGCTCTGGAGAGGAAATTGTGCCCCATGGATGGGATTGCAGAGGGGCCCTCAGGTCCCCAGCAGAAATCAACAACCAAGAACAGACACAAAAGGACTCCCCGAAAGATTTCGGGTGGAGTGTCCCATAGGCCTCACCCGTGGCCCTGCCCGTGGCCCTGTCCCTTGGCTCTCTCTCTGCCAGCTCAGTGTGGGGCACACGGGCTGGGGGTCCCTCCCAAGCCCCCCGGGCAGCCGGCGTTGGCTGGGGGGATGTGAGGGCTGGGCCTGCTCAGCACAGCCCCGGCCTCGTGCCCAGCGCCTCTTTCCTGACCCACACAAGACCTTCCCGGCCCCCCCAGGGCTCCCCTGCTGCTGCCTCTGCTCCTGGCCCTGCCTTTGCTGCTCCCTTGGCTGGGGCAGCGGCTGCAGGGGGGGGATGGCAGCAGCTTCAGCTCCACGGCACTTCCTGGGGGGAGCTCAGCCCGGGGGGACGGGCAGGGACCTGATGGGGATGGACAGGGGCCCAGCAGGGACAGCCAGGGCCTGCAGGGGAAGGCACAGGGACAACCTGGCCCCCCACACTGCCACTGCTGTCTCTGCTCCTCCTTGCAGGCTCCGTGGCCAGGCACAGTTTGTGTTCCTGGGTGCCCACCATCTCAGCACTTGGAGACGCTCAAATCTGCGCCCGCAGCTCTGCAGCAAAGCCCCAGCTCACCTGGCACACAGGGGATGGACACAGCACCTGCTCGGGGATGGGCACTCACAGCTTTGTCTTCCTCCCCACCACAGGGCTCTCCTTCCTCAGCAGCACCTCTGCCTTGCACTTATTCTCAGCCTCACCTCAGGGACAGCTCTGGGCTCACCTCCGCGCCACTTCTCAGCCTCACCTCAGGGCCTGGGCTCAAGGACAGGAACCTGCAGGGAGGGGACATCAGGTGCAAGCTGAGGGCTGCCTGCTTGCACTGGCCTCTGGGCTTCTTTCTCCTTCTACAACCAGCCCAGAACTCAGCCTGCTTTTCTAACACCACACATTTACAGACTAACCTTGGAGATAGATATGGACAGACATCTCCATCACCCTGGGGATAGAGCCTCAAGCATGTGCTGCCACAGGAATGGCAATCACAGAATCACAGAATCAGTCACGTTGGAAAAGACCTCCAAGATCATCAAGTCCAACCCTGGATCCAACCCGCCGTGCTTCCCAGACCATGGCACTGAGGCCACATCCACTCTCACCTTCAACACCTCCAGGGATGATGACTCCACCCCCTCCCTGCCCAGACCATTCCAAGGCCTGATTACTCTCCCAGCAAAAAATTGCTTCCTAATATCCAACCTAAACCTCCCCTGGCACAGCTCAAGACCCAGCCCTCTTGTCCTACTGCTGCTTCCTGGCACAACAGCCCCACCCCCACCTGGCTCCAACCTCCTGGCAGGGACTTGCAGACAGTCAGGAGGTCTCCCCTGAGCCTCCTCTTCTCCAGCCTCAACACCCCCAGCTCCCTCAGCCTCTCCTCACACCACTTGTGCTCCAGAGCCCTCCTGCCTTCCAGCACATCAACACACCCCCAGCTTGGGGTCACCTGCACATTTGCTGATGAAATGCCTGGTTCTGCAGCAGCTGCAGATGCTCAAGGGGCAGCAGGACCAAGTCAGGGGCCTGGGGGGCTTTGGGGTGCGGGAGGGTCCTGGGGGAGATGGGGAGGGGCTTTGGGGATTGGAGGCACAGACCAGTACAGACCAGGACAGACCAGAACCTTCTCACTGCTCTCCAGATCTCTCCTGGAGCTGGGCCACGTTGTCCTGGGACACCTGAGCCCCCCCAGTGCCCTCCCAGTACAGCCCAGTGCCTCCAGTACAGTCCACTGTGTTCCTGTCCCAGGGTGCCGGGTGATCCCTCTGTGGGGGGGTTGGAAGGGATTTGAGGGGGGGGCTGGAAGAGATTTAGGGGGATTTGGGAGGGGGGAGTTGGATAGGAATTTGGGGGGTTTTGGGGTGCTTTGGGTGCATTTAGGGGAGTTAAAAGGGGGCTTGGGAGGTCAAAGGGATCTGTAGGGGGAGGGGATTAAAAGGAAAAGGGGGTTGGGAGACATTTGGGGTGGTTAATGATGTCTAGGGGGAAAGAGGAGGAGCAGCACCAAGAGCAGGTGAGTCCTGAGACCCTCCTGGGGTTCCCAAGACCTTCTTGGTGTCCCTAATTCCCCCCTTAACACCCTGAGACCCCCCTGGTGTCTCCAATGTCCCCAGGGCCTCTCCATGGCCATAATTCCCCCAATTCCACTGTCCCCATACCCCACCCCACTGTCCCCAAACCCCAACCCTGATGTCCCCAACCTTCCATCTCACCCCAGGAGCCCCCCCTGGACCCTCTGACACCAAAAACATTGCTCCCAACCATGCTCACAGAAAGGCCAAGGGCATCTGGGGACATGTTGGGGATAACTGGGGGGCTTTGGGGGGCACTGGGTGATTCCTGGGGGATACTGGGATACACGGGGAGGAACCAGGGGGCACTGGGAGGGACTGGGGGGGAACTGGGGCACACTGGGGGTCACTGGCAGAGAACTGGGAAGTTACTGGGGGATACCAGGACACACGGGGGGGACACTGGGAGGTTACTGAGCCATACTGGGAGTTCCTGGGTGCTCACTGGGATACACTGGGTGGTCACTGGGGGGTTACTGGGCTATACTGAGGATCACTGGGAGGTTATTGGGATATACTGGGGGCACTGGGATCCCCTTACCCGGATGTAGTATATCTACACCCACCGATTTTGGGGAGCATCCCTAGGACCCCTCCCCTGGGGGCTGAGGGACCCCCCGAACCCACTGCTGGGCTTTAGGGGACTCCAAAAAATCCCCTCAAAACTCCTGAAATCCTCTCATGAATCCACCCCAGGACCCATCGAAACCTCCTCAGGGACCTCACAGCTCCCCTAAGAGACCTCATCCCCCTCCCCCCGGACTTTCTAAAGCCTCTCAGTGACCCGCAAAACACACCTGGGACCCCCCAAGCCCATTCAGGGATCCCCCCAGTCCCTCTAAGGGAGCCTCAAAGCCATCTGCAACCAGCTAGAGACCACAAAAACTGCTGCAAACGTCCCCGCAAAACCCATCCAGGACCCCCAAACCCCCTCAGAGATCCCCCAAGCCCACCTCGGACCCCCCCAATATCCTCAGAAACTAAAACTCCCTCAGGGACTCCCAAACCCCTTCAGGGACCTTCAACCTCCCCCCCCCGAGTCCCCTCAGGACACCGAACCCCCTCAGGGACCCCTCAAAATCTCCTCGGGAACCCCTGAACTCCTCTGCTAAGCCCTCCCGAGCCCTCCAGCCTTTCCACCCCCAGCCGCGCTCCCCGCAGCCCCCGAGGGGATCCCCAGACCCCGCTCCCCCCGCAGACCCCCCCAGCTCACACACCCAAGCGCAGCTTTTCCCGGGGCCGCCGCCCCCGAATCCTCCAGAGAGGGGGGGCGAGCTCGGAACGGAATCAGCTCCGGAGAATAAACCAAGGAAAACCAAAGGGCCGCGCCGGGGGAGTCTCCGCCGCCCCGGAGCTCAAAGAGCTGCCCCGCGGGACGGGCGAGGAGGGGCGGCGGTGAAACAGTCGCCCGGGGTGTGGCGAGGGAGGCGGGAGTGGGATAAAAGGGAGAGAATAGAGAGAGAAATCGCTTTGTTTCCCCCGCCCCAACTCCCTTTTGTATACAGATAAAACCAGGGATCAACATGTGCTTCCCTTTCCCCTTTTCCCCTCAGGGGATGAGAAAACAAA